GTGTAGATGTAAAGTGCTTGCGTATTCTTCACGAAGCTTCATATAACTTCTTGAAATTCCGGATCTTAAATATCCCGCGCGTGTGCTTGACGTTTATCACAACTACCACGTTTTATGTTCAGTGAATCCAACTGATTAATTATCATTTAATATGACTTGACGCGCATGACGACACGACTCGTGCCCTGCATGCAGTCGTCCGTCAATAAGTACATTTAAATGCCAATGAAAAAATTACTTTGCCAATGAACTCATATCAGATACAGATTGGCTGCTCATGTTTTATCTAGTACGTATAAATCAGTTGACTGAGAAGTGTGATACTTGATCATTCCCATCATGCACTATTATTTTTTCAATCCTGATTTTAGGGTTGGGTATAACATAACATAATTTATTATTCACTCGAAAATCTTACGAGTATATAACACTACAATAAATATTTATACAAACAATATACGAGCTATAGTCATCCGAATAACCATTTAGGGCTAATCTAATCTTATAGCTATTACACAAAAATTTAAATAGAGAATAATACATGGGTGCTTGGAAATACCAGATTTATTTCGAGTGTTGAACATGATATTTCACGAGTGAGATATCATGTTGAACACGAGAAATAAATCTGGTATTTCCAAGCACCCATGTATTTTTCTGTTTATTATATAAAGGACAGTCTTTGAAAAGCGATAACTTTTACACAAAAACGAGAATTGAAAAGTGATAATCTCACATGTGAGATTATTTATGATAATCTCACATGCGAGATTATCACTTTTATCAGTGCTCGAAATCTCTTTCAAAAACTCATTAATAATTCAGGAGCAAAACACAAAGAAAAACCATAAGCGTGTCGTGGTTTTATATGTGATAAAAAATCACGTTAATTTACATAAACTTCAGCTTTGATTTTCTCGGTTTAGACAAAGTTTATTTTAAAAATTACTTCGTCAATGAACTCGTAAAAGATCAGTCGTTTTTGAAGCCATTTAAAGCACTTGTAGTCGTGTTTTATCACATATAAAACACTCCGCTACGCGTCGTGTTTTATATGTGATAAAACACTCCTACGCGTGCTTTAAATAGTACATAAAGCACTATACTTTATATAATAATATACAATAATTCACTGCAGACAGTATAAAAGTTTTCGAACAATGTCAGAAGACAAGACATTAAAGGTGATCTACAGTCCGATCTGCGCATGTGCACAAATGAGCCCACTTTTTATGATACAAACAGTTTGACTATGTTTTGAGTTCTTGAAAAGCCTGATTGTTGTTTCTTGATCATTTATTATACTCTACAAGCTTGAAAATATAAATAGTTGTCGAATAAAGCTCAATATTTTGGACAAAAAAATGTAAACAAAGGCTTTGTTTACATACGGACTGTAGATCACCTTTAAACACAATTACGATATAATATACCTGCACAAGACACACTTGCGAGTCAGGCAAATGGTAGATTAAAATGTTGCTAGTTAATCACATATGCTACTTTAATTTTCGCTATCATGGTGACTGATCAATTGACTATTAAATTTCTTCTTAAATTTTTTTAAGTTAAGAATTTTTAGAGACTTTTCAATTGAATTCCAAATTTTTGGTCCGCTAAATCTATAATATTAAAAATTCCATAATTGGTATGGGGTAAAGGTAGCGCATATGTTATTACTTTCGACGCGAACCTGCCATCACCTGGTATAATGCGCATGGATACATTTAATTTCACTGAAAAAGTGGTCAAAGTCAACTGGGAGCAATGACTGACAAATTATTGAATGATTATAATACCAGTTGCATGTAAGTTGAATTTATAGAATAATATTGTGCGAGGAAATCAATGACAATGTCGTTCCAAATTTCAGACGTAAAATGAATCGTCCTCACTCGATAGCGTGGCTAATGAACTCCATAAAGAGAAGAGGTGCAGAATGTCAAATTACAAACCATAAACATCATGAAAGCATGTTTGGGAAACTAGCATGTTTACTTTTTGTCGAGGAAGTCTTGCTGTAGTAAAACAACACGAAGAATAATTCGTGCGATGTTTAATAACAATAATACCCGAGAAAACTATGATACAAAATGTTACCCCTATTTTGGTATAATAATAATAATAAAATAATAATAACAGAGTCTAGCGAAATTCTAATTCTACAAAATAAATATTCCTTAACTATACAGTACATATATATTGACCACAAACAAAGTTATACACGATCCTTTCCTGCAATACATTTTGAAAAGCAATATTCCCTATACAAGAATTTCAAGATTAAATGAAGAGGCTAGTATATGAAGTGCGAAGAAATTAAATTGAGATAACAGAAGCAGGTTTGTCTTTACGAGGCAATGCTTCTGCTTCCTTCTCGTCTAAACTGAGCAAAGGAACATCCAGGCCATCTTTCTTCTCGGATGCTGACAAGAACTCTTTGATAAGAAAAGCCTTGAAAACAACGGAAATTTATACTTAAATATATAAACGTCAAGTGTTAGTTGCCACAATGGATACTTTAATAACATGCATTGCTTACGCACGTTAACCCTTTCACAGGAAATCAAAGAACCAGCGCCTAAAAATGCACTTCTTTAACTGAATTTAGTGTGCTAGTTCCACCTTATATAAGACCGATTTACATTACACAACTTTCGCCTAAAGCTGTTGCATGCAACCTGCTTACCTACAACGTAGGCAAGTTGTATATGCTTGCATGATTCACACAGTACAACTGACAAGTTGTAAGCAGGTTGCACGCGACAGTTTTAGGCAAAAATTGTGTAGTATATAAATGTATCTTGTTTTTTTTTTAGTTTAATTATATTTACATTTATAATGCACAGACTCAGAAAGGATCATTCACTGATTTATACTATCTTGTATATCTCCGGGCGCTCTCGGGCAGTATTTATAGTAGAACTGCTGTTCTTAAATGTTGTTTAGATATTGCTACTGCATGTATGTGCTAGGTTTTTCCAACTATTTTGGGGTTACTTAGTTCTGGGAGATTTTGCTCTGAATATTCTCTAATTAACACCAACAAATGAACATATCAAAGAACCGCAGTACAACAAAAAATTTCAGACGCAATCGTACCTTCTTTTCTGGCCTGTGAGATTTCTTAGTAGAAGGATTGGTGAGTGTAGCGGCACAACATAACCAGAGTAGGAAGAATGAAGAGAGGAAAAGGATACTACTCAAGATCCACATTGGAACTCCAGATTTATGAGATACACAATGAAGCCAATGATGACCACGACGGACAACGATCCATGATTCATGCTGTTCACTATAACCTGCAGGTGCTGCTGAAAAACAAACAATAGCTAGTGTGATGCTTAAAGTCAAAATACAAGAACTTTCCCGCTTCTGTAGTCTGCTAACATTTTCTGTAATTTGTTCTGTAGTACAGTAACGGTTACCGATTTATAAACAAATACCGTCGGTGATGAAATTCAAATTCTGATTAAACTAGTTATTTAATTAGACAGATACTTAGCTACTTTCAGCAATACTGCAATAAACCAGCACAACATATTTTACATATATATCATGATATTTTTTGTAATATATTATAGTAATTATTTGATATTATTTTGAATTAAATTTCATTTTATTCTGATAAAAAATAGGAGTGGCGATCTTCTAATTATAAGTGTACTAAATAAAAAATGAGTATAAGACATGGATCAGGGATGTGAAACAAAATCAATACTTAGCATACTTTGATCCTTCTGTCCACTCTGCGTATCAGGTTCATCATTTTGGGTTGCTGGATACTGATCATAATAATTGGAAGACACAAACACCTGTGGCTGATCCTACAAACATAAAATACATTCTGATAAATAGCAACTGACTCAATGTGTATATCAGTATGTATACAACTGGGTCATTACTTGCATCAGTGGGTGAGCATATTTACAACAATTCATTACTAATGGCTGAAACATACAGCAGCTAGCCATTTGACAATTTCAATAAATCATCATACAGACATACACATAAAAATTGTCTTCAATACTTTAGAATTCAGTATAGTAACTTAGCAGCAATTTATTCCATAATGACAATTTCAAAGAGCATACAGTATTTAGCAAATGGATTACTGTAAACCTAACATATTTAAGTACTAAATGTATATTCACTGGTTGTCTATTTTTTTGATAGATTGTTGTAAATGGCAAGTGTCTGATAACCACTGGCAATGGGTAATCCAAATTATCTACAGCTCTATCAGTTTAAAAATGCTCTGTTTAAAAATGCTCTGTAGAGGTCCATGTTCCTGTTATACGTATAGTCAGGCCTCGATTTTGAGAAAAATAAAGGCAAGGCCAGTTTGTCCTTGAATGTTACCGTACTAAGTTTTTAAGGGCATCAAGGCCAGTACACAGGGCATCAAGATTCAAGGCCAGTTTGAAAATTTTATTCAGTTGCTATTTTGAAGTTTCAAATAACTAAGTTTCCATGAGACAAGAAAATATACAGAATAGCAGCACTATTCAAAAAATGGATATTTTCACATGATTCAACAGACAGACTGACAGAAAGGTGTATTTAAATACTATTTTAAATTTATTGCCAATTTTACAAACGATACACTTGGTATTCTAAGTACTGTAGTCTGGGGTTGAGGGCAGGCCACTACTGGCCGTGGATTTCAGTATATTTCGAGGGCATAGCGGCCAACAAGCAGGGCATCGACGGCCAGTGGCCACCGCTAAATTCGAGGCCTGTATAGTGGACCACAGGACTATTAGTCCTAGAAAATTTTTGAGGTTGGCAGAAAGGTAGAACCATAGAAGGTTTCAACGTAAAAAGTCGTAAAGGAAAGAAAGTGTATTTTACTAATTTTAGTGACAATCATACTTTACTTAGTTTACTATAGATCATATAGATAAGCTAATTTATAGATAAGCTAATTTATAGATAAGCTAATTTATAGAAGGGCTAATTTATAACATAAAAGAATGTTTATTTGGTAGCCATGCTGGATGGAATATAAGGTCTTTTCAAGTTGAAATGATGTCTAGAATTTTGTCTAGAATACACAGAATTTTATTTAGTTGTGATAACATTTTCAAAACCACAAGATTTGCTGTCGTTGGTCCAGAAAATAAAATATTTTTTGCAGCCCTGGATGGTATTCATTGGGTTCATTTTGCTCCCTTGAGAACGAAACTGTTCATTTTAAGTGACTAATTATTTCATAAATCTAATAATTTACTTAGTTATATAATAGATTACTAATAAATTACCTGGATGTTGACAACAACTATTCCTCCATTGTTAGTGCGGAAATAATATGAGGTGGAGGTTTGTATGTAATAGGTGAGCCTGTTAATCATACCACGGCCATATGTGTGCAAGAGAAGGACTGGACGAAGGATCATAGCTGCAACTGTGCTTTGTTGTTCCTGCAGAGAAGAAATTATGTGAAATTACTTAACCCTGATGTGGCCTACTTTATTATTTTATTTTGTCTAATGCCAGACAATTGTACTCATCAAGGGGAGAGTGCTGCCACTCAATGGGTTAAAATAAGTTTGATGAGAGAGCATCAGAGCAGCCGACTGGAAGAGAACTGTATTGGTTGACACAAAAACTTTGGAGAGATGATAAAAATCTAAAATGATGGAGAAAGCTACAGTAGTTGGTAAGTTGAAATGCATGGTTGTTAATTAAGGTAAGTTTGGCAAGATGATTACTGGTAGTGCACCACAGAATGAATTAGAAACTTTGTAACTCTTGTTGTGCATTTTTGAAAGTACAGTACTCAGCCTTTTCCATTTTAATTGGGTCATTCCTAGAAAATACCCACACTCCCCCCTACAAAGTTCTGTTCTCTCAAAGGGATGTGAAAATCTACTCTTGATAATAGTAAAATATACTAGGACGTCCTCTGTAGGGAGAAGTCAGCTGGGTGTTTTCTGAAATGACACAATTTAAAAAGTCAGGGTTCAAATTAGAGAGAAAAAGTCGACTCACAATTTTTTTGTGAATTTTGAAACTCTTGCCCCTAAAAATTATAAAATTATATTCTGTCCTATTCCGGAAAACTTGCTTTACAAGCTGAGTGGACAAAAAATTGACGCTTTGTGTATTTGATTGCCAATGGTTGTTAAATCACAAGAAAATGGGATTTCATGTCATTTCAATGGTTACTGTAATTCTAACAAGTTCCATGGAATAAAAGTGTTTCTATACCAATTATAGAATTCCCTAACAATTATGGAAAGTTCCTATTTATTTTCGTTTTCTTTGACACCTGATATGTAAAAAATGCTGATTGACTGCAACTATCGAGAAACAGTATGTTTTGTGGACCCTCGACTGCCAAATATTTGCAGTCTTGGGTCGACAAAACATACCATTTCCCTCAGTCCCAGTCAATAAGTATGAATTATTATATAGCAAGTGTCAAAATTCAATTTTTCTGTTTGCTGATTGGTCAAAACCGTATCACATGCAGGTCCACAAAACGTCATGTTCACTGCATGCTTTGGCGAGGGGGCAACAATTATTGACCGGTAAATACTGTAATAAAAACTGGAAGTGAGGTGTGAGCTGTTCGTGTCAACCAGCAAGTTTAAAGCAAAGGTTTTTCACGTGTTTCAGCAGGTCTGCCAGTCGATTTTATTATAGTTTTGGAATACCAGGTGAATTACCGAGACTTTGACTTTTGCAATATAATAAAACATTTATTTACTGAGACCTAGGGATAAAATTGTGTTTTGTGGCCTCCTCAATGCCGTTTCCCTTGGTTTCAGTCAAAAAGTGATAATTATTTTCCTTGGTCCAAATTACTCTTACATCTTCAGGTGGGGTAGGTTTCCTGGCCGGAGTATCTGCAGGTTCTTGTTCTATATTCTTTCCTTTGGTACAACCTAACTTGCAAGCATAATAACTTCCTGTGGCAAACTGGTCTTTACATTCTAGTAAAAGAACATAATTATACAACTTATATGTTTTTTAAAACTATATATAAAACTGAAAATATATTACAAAATATAAATCATGAACAATTTTAACTTTGATATTTCTAAAATGCAATAATTTCACGAGGTTATTCGTCTCTAAAAACAAGAAGGTCTACTTTACAAAGAAAAGCAAATATAAATACAATTACAGTATTAAAGTAGTAAACAAGTGCAAATTGCGTGACTGCCGGGCGTTTGTAATTGTATTATTTGTATATGACTATTAATAGATATAGATAAGAGTTTCACATAGACGCGAGTTTTAGATACTAAAAGCAATTGTGGTTACTAAAAAGGTATAAACACTTCGATAATTCTTCAATTAGAGCTAGGTATCAAGTTATTAAAATTTCGATACAGCTGAATTCACGCCATTTTACCTTGCGAACAATTGTGGACAAGGCGAAATCCCAAAGCAGACCAAGATTTTTGTTTGGCTGCACTGTAACAGCCTTGTTGACAAGCTTGAAGATGTTTCACCTTTAGAAATGATGGAGAAAACAATATACACTGTTATAGATCTATTATAGGCACAAGAATCGAATCACAACAGGAATACTAAAAAGACAAATGCGAACGCAGTGGCATTTAGTGCCATAAAAACATCGTCAAAATTTGGTCTGTAAATTACGGTTCTGCTTACCGTTGGATACGTATGTGGTGGATAAGTTTTTTCACAGAAACTTCGACATTTTACAGTTTCGTTTAAGAGGCTCAATCCATGCGAAAGAGCGGAGAAAGAAGCCAAGAAAAAAAGCAAACATGAAAACTGCTTCGCCATGGCGGTCTTTGTTTACAAAATACAAATTGAACCACTGATCAGTGCTTCCACTTTTTATGCTTAAAATTTCTTTGTGATTTGTTTGTAGAAAACACTTGTAAAAACTTGTAATACAAATGTTATAATTTATAAATACCATTTATTTTGGGAAAGCCCGCATTTTATTTTTTTTTAAATTTTTCCCACAACCAAAAAACAAAACAATTGTATATAGCTTCATGGGCGTACCGGAAGGAAAAAATTGGGGGGGCGGAAAGAAAATTGCCCGACTTTTCGAGATTCTGCCCGACTTTTCGGGATTCTGCCCGACTAGGACCAAAAAAATTTTTCCGGAAAAATTATTTTAGGGGTCAAAAAAATTTTCCGGAGAAACAATTTTTCCGGAGCATAACATTAATTTTCGAAAAAACACAAAATTTGCCAAAAAATTGAATTAATTTTAGACAAAATTGACAGAATTTGACCCATTTTTTTTTATTGCAAACCAAAATTGCCCGACTGTTCATCGAATATTGCCCGACTGCCCAAAAAACTGGGGGGGCTACCGCCCCCCCCGCCCCCCCGCCCGGTACGCCTATGTATAGCTTTTTTACAGCAAGGAAGGATTGCATGGAAGTTAAATTTTCTTTTATCCTAAGGCGATCATTACCGATATTGTCTCGATATTTGAACGGTTTCTTACGGAGAACACCGAACATGTAATGTATAAAACAATAAATTAACAAATTTACAAATTGTAAACAATCCACGTAGACACATCTATAATAATATTAACTGGTGTTAATCTGTTGAATGTTGAATGTTGAATGATATTCAATGTTTGTCTTGTAATAATGTCTGTGCAAAAGAATTTTTCAACATCAGTCTGCGGTTCAACTTCTAGATAAACCGGAGAAGTACAAGAGCAGCGTGTCATTTGGGAATCATTGGGATCTCTAGTTCTATAAACTGTGTTGGGATCAAGTAGCTTTTTTATAATAAATCAATGTATCACATTTGAGTGGACCAAGGACTCTTTTGATCAGTGTAGTTAAATATAACTAAATAAAGTATGGATGATCAGAGAATTACTCCAGCCAGGAAAGTGTTTGCTGCTGTTTTATATGGTTCAGCGTCCTTTCTAATTGTCATTGTCAACAAAAATGTGTTGACGGGACACAGGTATGGTCAATCTTGGTTTGCAAAGAGGTGTTTAACTTCATTCCATTGTAGCTACGTAGTAGTATAGTAATATTAAACTTCATTTGATACATTTAGATTTCCTTCCTTTCAGTTCGTTGGCCTAGGGCAGGTTAGTGAGTTTTTACAAATTTGGCATATATTTTTGGAAGCATGGCTTTCAGATTGCAGACATATATGAGATTTAAAATTTCGTATTTCCACAGCATGATGTGGAATACGTATTTTATATTCAATGTTTAATTAATATGACTTCAGACTGTTCAAGGCCATGCCATGTAACGGTTAGCACTATTTTCCATCCAGCAAACTGACCTGTCGTCATTTTCGGAAGATGGAAGAGGTGTTAAATGGCTATGTAACTAACCCAAATCTTACCCCTACTCTAACCCCTAACCACAACCCTAACTCTAACCCTAACCAAATTAATAAAAGAATCCAAAAAGAAACGACTTTAGAAAATTGATAGGGCGGTTTGCTGGATGGAAAATAGTGCTAACCCCATGTAAGGTCCGTAATGTAAACAAACACTTTGTTTACATTTTGAACTCAGTGCTACAGTTGTAAAATATGATTAGATATATATTATACTGAATTTTTAACACTCTTCTGGATCGCTATGCTTGTAAATGAATATAGACTAGAGATTCAATTCAAGAAAGTTTGAAATGTGCGAAATATAAATAACATTCCAATGGTTGGGTCCCGACCATTGGAATGTAGGCCTGCGCAGAACATATGCGCAGAACGGACTTTCCATGGTCTTTCAATATTATGTCAAAACTTCATATTAATTTGGTCAGCTATTGATATAGTATCATGACAGTTGGCTGTTGGCCAATCAGAAACCATGAATGGCAGAATGACATTGTGAAACAAGATATTTAATATGTCTGTTAAGGAATTTCTGCCTTAAACTAAAGAGAAATTTTGATGTCAGCAGTATAAATTTTCATGTGCCAGAATGTACAATTGTATTGATTCTAAACCTGTAGGAAGTGTTGTCAGTTATTTTTTGGTGTTGCTTGTACTAGTTGCTTGTTAACCCTTTAAGTGGCAATGCACCCTGATGTGCACTACTTTAGTATTTTACTCTGTCTAATGCTAGATGATTTTACTCGTCAAGTGGAGAGTGCAGCCACTCAATGGGTTACTGTCGTTCCAATTGAAGTGTTGCTGAAATATTGATTCAATACATTACCTCGGGCTGACCAATTCATTTGATCAAGTTCCTCGACATATTCATACACTTCCTGTGAAAGAGCCAATTCCAAGTATTTGATCATTTCTGGTCACTTCCTTTCTATTTATGATTGGTTAGTTGCACAAACAACCAAAGGTGATTGGTGCATTCAAACTATTCAACAGGAAGTTTACAATTATACTAGGAAGTGTATGAATATCTCGAGGAACTTGATGAAATGAATTGGTCAGCCCGAGGTAATGTATTGAATCAATATTTCAGCAACACTTCAATTGGAACGACAGTAAAGGTCTTGCAACATGTACGCATACCCATGTATGTCATACAGTAGTAACATATAGGACCAAATTTACTCAAAATGTCTAATCATGATTCAGCTAATTTCATTTGGTCAATGTGATAAAGTTAATATATACAATATTTACGCATCACAGACTCACAGTACATGCAGTCAGTCAGTCCTAGCTGACAAAAAAGCACATAAAGTACCTGCAGTCACGTCACAATTGTTGAAAACTCCCATTTGTAACTTCTTACACTTGCCTATAAATTTCGTTTCAGATGTGTGCAATCATAACTCTTCTTTATATTGCAAAGAAAATAAGTATTATTACTTTTCCTGATTGTTCTGCTTCAGTTTTATTCCAGGTATATCAGATGAGGTTTGCAATGTCTATTATTTTTTAAAAATAATTAATCTATAGTAAGACATGGCTAGTACAGGTGGCTGAGATGGTGAGAGGTGATTCATGTACTGCTCCTTACTGCTGGGTTAATGTGGAATCCAGGATTTCAAGAACTAATTACACATACAACAAAGCCCACACCTTTTTACCTTATCAATAACACATTGTGCAATTGCATCATGTCAGATATCTCACTTGGCGCTCAGATTGTGTTCTATATAGTTAAGATACATGCATCAGCGTATTCAGTTATTATGTGATTGCATATAGGTATGGCCATTGCCTTTGATTTATATTGGAAATCTCATATTTGGTTTGGGTAGTACAAAAACATTAAGGTATTGAACGTCATTTTTCGTATTTAGTATCATTTTAATTAAAACCTAATTAGTTTGTTTAAATTTCACAATCTTTAACTTTTGTTCTTTTAGTTTTTGCAATTTCTTGACATTCACTATGTTGTCACTGTCTCCATTTTTATTGTCTCGTCACTTCCTTAATAATCAGGCATTTGAATGCTGGTGTCATTTTTTATATTGGGAGATTACGGTATCCTTTCCTCGCCATACTTTTTATCCAACAAAAATTATGTCCATACCATCTTGAGTCCTTTTGATTAAATATTTTTAAGTTATAAATTCAATGTTACAGTATTTGTGATCTAAAATTTATCTCCATAAAACGTACAAAATGTATTATGCTTAATTAGGTGTATTATGCTTAATTAAGGTAATTCCGCAGTTTTGCATTGCGCACTTTTACTGCGCAAATCTTATAACTGATAATTTCATCCATTATACGTACCGTTTAAAACAAAATATCATTTTATGACAATTTTATGTTACTTCAAAACATCTTTGGTTACATTCGTGCAAAGAATTGCGTTAAAATCAATGTTTTCAAAAAAGGCATACAAAAGTGTAACTAGGGTTCTCTGTGTCTGTAGTATATTTATTTACTTGTATTTCACGTTTTAATGCCAGAATTCCCTAAAAAGATCGGTGACCCCCGTTTTTTAACTGATAATTTATTTCTTTAATGCATTTTACATTTCATATCCGAAATTAAAAGAAAAATCATTTCTGGATCTTGAAAAAAAATGCTTTATCAATGCATGTTCTCAAAGAAAGATATATGTAAAGAATGTGGAAAAGACATTTGTGGATCAGAATTGTACACGTTAGTAGTTTCATTTTGCTCAAAAAACAATATTTTTTCAAACATAATTACAAGATAGGTTTACTAAAGCAAAATCCGCGCTAAAAACGTCAATAAATATCGGGCTGTTGTGAGTTTGCTGTGGTGGTATATTGTGATTGTCATATCTTCTTAACGAGTTCGGTGACCCCGACTTTTTTGTGTGATTTTACTTTAAGTTTGTAATAAACTCCATGCCTGGGAAGTTTCAGCACATTCTCATTTCGGGAACAATTACTGCAGAATTACCTTAATGTATTTAAATTCCTTCCCAAGATCTATTTTCTTCCAAAATTGTCGCAATGTAATAATTCCTACGGCAATACTATTTTAAGGGCCGGTCACAAAATGCGAATTCGCCCATGGCTGTGAAAAAGTCCGATTTCTCCGGCTAGATCGGACATATATAAAACTCATATTGCAGTTCCTCCGCTTTATAGAAAGTGTTTCAGTTAGTTTTGTTTAAGTGACTGTATGCCTGGAATATTTCATATTAAAGTGAAGCGGATATTCCAATATTACATTGCATATATTATTTGTTACTGTATTAAACACTGAATGAGGTAAGTGAGGTTGCTTTAACCAACGCCAACGAGTTTAATTATTCGATGATCACATTATATAAACTTTTGAAGGAAAAGTAATATAAAGTATGTTTTATTCGGGTTTTTTTGGGCCGGTGGAAATCTAGGACCGGGGGCAAATGCCCCTTTTGCCCCGTAGATAATCCGGCACTGTTCCTACAGTATATATATATATATATATATATGGTGTTCAAAATGAAAAAAATTAAAAATAAAAAATTTAAAAAAATTTAATGTGCTGCTACTTAAGTTTCACGTATACCGATCGTATTAAGCTCTGCGAATTTCCCGCATCGAGCACTGTACTCGTTTTGGCTTCAACAACCAAGCAAGTTATATATATATATATATATATATATATATATATATATATATATATATTTATATATATATATACTGTAGTCTGTATGATTCTTTTTCATTGTCATAATCCTTTATAGACATGCAATTTAGGACTCATAGCGCTTTACGCTCTTC